AACTATTTTTGTTTTTTTTTTTTTTTTTTTTTTTTTTTTAACTTTATATATATATATTCCATCAAGTCAAATTTCTGTAGATTCAAGTTTTGGGTCATTAAGTGTCCTCTAAACAGCTCAGGTTTAAGCATGGAAGAGGTAAAGATGAAGAGTCGGTCAGTGTGGTTCCCTACTGAGGATGGGAGAGAATGGCTTAGAGGAACATTGAGACCACCCCCTAGTAGTCAAGGTCAACATCAGTCCTCTGTGTTTCTGTACTCTACAAGTTTGTGATAGGAAACAGGAAGTGAAAATAGACCAACTTTGCTTTAAAAACTCCCATCAAATTAAGATTCTCTCCTGTACGTTCGTCCGCTGTACCAATAGAAACACTCATGCTGCACATTCCAGTAAGGGACAAAGACACATAAGAGCTGTGTTGGGATTTCAACACGTTGAGGCAAGATGATACCCACATATATCAGGGAACCCAGTCCATCATGTCCTGCTGTTTTATTCTTGCAGATCAGATAGGATGTTAGGCATTAAAATGATCTAGAACCATAAAAAAAGCAGCCTGATGGTTTCTATTACTGTGACACAAAAGGTCTGTAGTGATGTGGGTTACTTCACACCTCGTTAACAGGCAATCTGCTGAATCAGTTTTCAAGTTTATTTGATGAGGACACTTGCTGTGGACAAGCAGGTCGCAGGTGGGGAAAAATAAGGAAGCAAGAGAGGGAAGGTAGAGAGAAGTGATTGTTTTCTGAGTCCACCCCTCAAAGAAAAGAAAAAAAAAAAAAAAAAAAGATTTATCCTCACTGAGGATTGATTTGAGTCTGCCTCTCTGGCAATATTGTCCATGACTCTCTGCAGCCACCTGCAGAGCCCCTGCCTCTTCAAAGGGGGTGAGTAGCTTTAGGTCCAGTCTTTTAGTCCTTGTCAGACTCCTCTTCGGCCTCACGGAGCCAGGTGAAGAAGGCAGTAACTGACTTCAAGGCCACACCTTTTCCCGTTTGCTCTGCAGGGTCTTTGCTGGATTCCCATTTGTAGAAGGCCTCTTCTTTAATAACGTCCTCATCATACAAGGCATCAAAGAACATCCGCAGCAAGTCTGCACACAGAGAATACAGGTCAACACTGATCTAGTGCTGATAATCACAGAACCGGCCGTCTTTGTTGCAGCAAATTAGACCTCACCCAAATTTTCTGCGGGCAAAAGAAACCTTACAACACAACAGTCCTGTGGTAAATATAAGTGCACAGTTTAGATACTGCTGCCTGATGGAGGTATTAAAATAACTAGGTCATATTTGACTTGATACTGAATCATCACTAATTTATATATATTTTTTAAAACTGTAAATTACAAGTGCTACCAACATCTAGTATTTCTTATAGGGCCACTGTGTTGTAATGCGTATTTTATTTTGCCCAGCTCTGCATGTTCTCACACATCACTCCTGGCAGACATAGATTAATAGTAGGACACTCACTTGCTGGCTGCTCCATGTGCACCATCAGAGCCTGGAGGGCGTAAAGGGCCTGCAGCTCTTTCTGCTCGTCATGCAGGTACCTCTGCAGCAGACTGGCCCTCTGGTTAATCTGCTTTACATCCACCTTGTACAAGTTGTCACCTGAAATGAGAGGCAAAACACATATAACCAGAGAAACCATAACCTTTCCTCGTTCCACTGTAAGAATCTACTTCTTGAACTGCAAAATCAGTGGAAGAGAAAAATCTCATCACATAGCAATTTGAGCTTGTAAGTTTCAAACGCGTACGAGTGTGTATGGCTGAAGTGAGATGAAATGACTAACAGAGACAAAGCTACAGGACCGTTTTAGCCAAAACACACCAGCCTTACTTCCAATTGCTGCATTAGTCATACTTACATATAATGGCAGACTGACACACTGACATCATCAATGCACGTATGAACTGGTTGGAACTGGTCTGCTGGTCGTCCAGGTTAGCCTGAATTAAAAAAAAAAAAAACCAAAACACTGATACACACTCATGCAGCTTTTACATTTATTTAAAAGAAAGTAAAACCCATAAACCTGTCACACACCTCAATCCAGTCTCTGATGTGCTGGTTGTTGGCCTTGTCCTGAAGAAGTCTGTCCAGCTGTCTACTGAGCTCCTCTCCACTAAAGACTTTCTTCTTACCGCCTTCTGCTGACTCCACCTCCTCTTCTATGGTGAACTCCACTTTCTGAAATGACAGTTTTCCATTACAACACAAAAACCAACAACCATCCAAGTCTGAGATACTAATATTCACAATTTCATTGCTTGTTTCATCATTCTTTCTTGTAGCCACACGGTAGGTGGGTATTGGCCTGAGGTTTGCATATGATCTATCCATATCCAGAAAAGCTTCACCATCAAGATCTTTCAGTTGTTTATGTTTTACAGTCTATTACACACCTGTTCAGTGACAAACTTGTTGACGTCTTCGTCCTTGGACACGAAATCACTCCAGTTCAGCTCAGCCTCTCTCCACTTGGCCCCAACCTTCTTAGTGGTCTAATTAAATAAAGAAACAAACATTGCATGCAGTGAATCCAAAATGTACCTCTGCAAAGTAGCTTTTCACACACAACAAAGTGTAATGGTAGACAAAGTGTTAGACCTTTGATGATGTAGAACATACCATTTCGTTGCAGAGCAGCCTGAGGATCTGTGCCAGCAGCGTGCCAGCCATCCCCAGAGGCACAAGAGGCTTTGAGATCTCCCTGAAGACACAGTCACACTAAATCACGCTTTCCGCTTTCTTTAAACTATTATTCAGTTGTTTTATTTACCAATATTATTAATATAACCAGTTTTGCATGATAAATTATTACATTCTGATGTCATCTTAGGAAACTAGTTTAGCCATTTTTGAGCTTTCAAATGGGAAATATGTGACCAAGCCCTATGTTTGACCTATGGTGACTGAGCTTCCTGCATCTTTCAGTTAGTGCAGTGAGAAGACCTGTCTGCAGCATTTGTGCCAGGATATGCCAACTATGTCTTAAATATGTCCTTAAATCCTACTCAGGCAGAACATAATGGACAGCTAAGTAGCTAAACAGATAAAGATGTGTGAACTATCCTACTGACTCAGGTTTGATGAGTTGCATGTTTAGGGCCACAGCACTGCCAAACATTAAAAAAACGACTTTATATTTTACCGACTTATAAAACAAGTTACTATATCCAGTGCTGTTGATTGTCAAAAGTGTCTGTCAGGTACTATCTCCGACTCAAAAAAAGGCAGCTTGCTCAGAACTATTGAACTAAATTATTTTTGTTTGTGCCCAAATTTCATTGTGCTATGCATAATGACAAAGATTCTTGACTTGACCTGGCCAGACCAGTGGAGCTCACCTGAAGAGCTGTCCCATTGGGATGCCTCCCTCATGGAGCATGGGGGTAATGATTTCAGCCAGGTAGAGCCAGATGTGAGGTATGTCTATGGCCATGTCTTCCGCTACCTCGAGGATCTCTTGTAGCCTACATCCCAAGGACAAACAGCACTCAGTCTCAGTTTGATCTCTTAAATCTAGAGATGATAAATCTTTCAGGTATTGGGAACCCAGTGTGATGTTTCTCCTCACCCTTTGTAGTACTGCTCTGTGGGCAACATCCCTGCTTTTATAAGCTTGTGCAGCAACAGGCCCATGTGCTCCCTTGCAATGGTGCTGCGTTCAAGTGTTGACTCCACACCGTTCCGCACAAAAACATAGAGCAACGAGGCACTGTTGAGCTCCACCACACACTGCATCGCCTCCTACAGCAGCATACAGAGGAGAGAGAGACCCCGGCCATCAGAGTGGATTCATAATCCAAGTATCTGTTAACGTGCATGTGTTTATGTAAAATTCACATTTTGGAGATACTTGTTTGTACCTTCAAGTCATTAATGTGGAGGTATTCCTCAATGATAGCATTCGACTTCCTGTCCACCTCCTCTTCAGTCAACACAGGCTTTGGAAGAGGAGGAGGGGTAGGGCCGCTCTCGCGCTTAACTGCAGAAACACAAGGCAGCAATACAAGTTAAAGCTTATTCCTCTGACTTTCCGCATCCTGACCTCATCAATCTACATTAGTGTGTCTATAACCGACTTCTTTCTTCTATTATATCAATCTTAAGTCTTTACTTTTTCTGTATAAATTTAATACCTGTGAGATCTTTGCTTGGAGCCCTTTCTCGGCTTCCTCTGTCCCCGCTTCCTCTGTCCCCGCTTCTTCTGTCCCTGCTTCTTCTGTCCCTGTCATCAGTCATGCTGGCGACGCGCCGCACAGGCTCAGCCGATGCCCGGCTGTCTCCACCCCTGCCACCACGTTCCTGTGACTCTCTGCTAAAGCTTCTCTTGGTGATTTGTGTCTGGCCGCTTGTGTCACTACGACCTTCCCGTCCCTCGCTGCGATCAAATCGGTCAAACCGATCCCTGTCGCGGTCTCCCCTCTCTCTGTCGCTGCCGCGCTCACGACTGGAGCTTGACCTAAAGGTTGCATGTAAGACAAAGATTCATTTTATCACAATGTTGTTCCATCAAATTCAATCTTAAACTAGACACATACATTGAATTTGGTATATGATTTTGTATATAATTTTATACTTCAATTCAAACCTGCCATATAAAATGCAATTAGTTCTCAAGCTTGTGCATTCAAAAGTGTATTGAGTGTCAGTGTTCCTTTTTGATAGTTTATATAACTAACAATTGACAGATTGACAAACATGTACAACACAAACAAAAAAAACTCAGATCCAGAGATAAAGAGGAAAAGGCAAAACATTTTACTTGGCGAGAAAACATCATGCAGCTTGTGAATACCTCTGGGGAACTCTGCGATCAGAGTCTGCTGAGGACAACAGTGAGCCAGACTGCTGCAGGGCTGAGAACCGGTTGAGGGTACTGGTAACTGGACGACCAGAATCTAGTAAAGGACAGACAAGGACTGATTAACACCCAGCCACTGAAGCAACTTAAGACATACAGTCTCTTTGAAGAAGGTATTTCACCCTGCTCTCCACTGGCTGGTTTAGCTCCAGTTCCTCCACTGCTGCCTTTGCCCCAGCTACCCCACATGCCTTTGCCACCTGGAGCCAACAGCTGATTGCTGAAGTCCACAGCACCAGGCTACAGGGAAACACAAAGAAGACATTTATAAACAAGCTGCATACACAGATCATCAGGTTAAACTTAAGACAAATCATTCTAAAGACTCTTGGCTTAGGAGAAGAAGTGTGTAAAACTGGAATATATTTTACAAAAACTGCCAAATGTTCCAAAATGTACAAATCAAGACTGTATTTGACTGTGCTGGCACACATCAAGACCATTGTGCTGGACTTGGAGGTTACCTTTGTGATCTTGCTAAGGCGTGTGGTATCAATGGGTCTATTCTTAGAGATGGGCACTGTGTTCCACCCCTCGTCCACAGGCTGGGTAACCCGGCTACCACCTGGTGTGTGAGGGCCTCGGCCCCCTGTGCTTGCCCCCATTCTGCCTGCTCCGCCATCTTTCTTAGACAGGAGCTGCTGTTGGACTTTGATCTGTTCCCTGTGCTGCTCCATCTCTGCCTCCTTGTGGATCTGGTCGATTGTTTTAGGACCCAGGTCTCCTCTACGAGGCACCCAGTTATTCTGTGGATCACAGGTGGAAGACAATTAGAAAACAGCCTTAAGCTGTTTCAACAACAGCTGCTTAATATCTACACTCAGGATTCCTGTGATGTTTACTTCACACACACAGTATAACACATTTTTGCTCACTTTGAGAAAACTGCTTCACATCAGTCACTACCACAGATGAGTGTTAACAGTTCTTTGTAGCAATATAATGCTTTAGACAAATTAATAATTACCTTCCGAAGGTCCAAGACATCTTGCAGCATGAAGCGGATCCTGGATGAGGTCTTTCTTTCTTTGATAATCTTGTCCATCTGATTGAAATACTGATCCATACGAGGCTGATGGGGCAGAAATAAAATAAATAAATAAATAAATAAACGCAGCTTTAATGAGCCATGGCTATCGAACATGAGTAAACAAGACAGATTTTTGAGTAGAGAACTGTCACCTCAGTCCCATCACTAATAATTAGTGGCCAGACATGAGGCACAAAAATAACTCAAAACAGGAGACAACAAACAACTCATCCGTCCATCTGTGTTCATACCTACCTTGGCCTTCTCAAAGTCCAGGTCTTTGCCAATCGTGGAGAGCAGCCTGCAGAGACACTCCAGAGATTCTTCATCGTGGTTCTTCAGGAGTTTCACTACACAGTCGTGCATGATGGCCTCTGTCAGCATCTTCAGCTTAAAGAGCTCCCCTATAAACTTTATGTTACCCAGTGAGCGGCGGCGGGCCTGGTCTCTGGCATCCTCCAGCTCCACCTTCAAGCGCTCACGTTCCTCCTCCTGAGGGCAGATACAAGTGCGGGATTTGTGCTTAGTGTTGAGGCAAAATTATTTAGTCAAGTTTAGTCTAAATAAAGAACAAAAATGTGGTGGGACGGAGATGATGAAAGATGGCATTTCTTACATCTTTGGCAGCCTCCAGCTCTTTTTGCTTTTTCTCAAAGATTTCATCATCATCCTGGTCCTTCTCAAACTCTTTCTGGCAGCGATTGAGCAGCAGTTTACGGAAGTTGACAAAAATTCCTGGCTTGTCTGGAGTGGGGACTTTCAACTGAAGGGGGAAAAACACTGAGTATAATTACTATTTTTTTAATGAATGCACATGTTTTCATCTCACCAATAATTATTTGGCATGAAAATTTTTTTTTTTTTTAACAGTAATTAGAGTGTGCTCCTTCAGTTCCTCAATACCATCATAAACATTCAGTGGCCCAGACACGTGGCACAAAACAGAAGTCATCACTGGAGCAAGTAAGAAAAGCAAAAGATTTGGGCACAATCACATAACTTACCCCCATAAGGCAGCGGCACATGTTGGCATAGGCCACAGAGAAGTTGGGCTCTGAGATGGCCTTCTCAAAGATGAGGTCAATGGCTCCTTTTAGCCTCTCTTCCGTGTCTATCGTCAGCTCTGTAACTTGTTTCACCAGAGCTTGAAACTTCTGAGGAGTCAGTTTGTTGAGGATACTGCGCAGACGCTTGAACAGCTCACGAGTCTTCGCCTGTTCAGGGTCATCATCGTTAATATCCTCCTTGCTACGGGTGCGAGTGGGCTTCTTCACTGAGGGCTTCCAGGCCTTCTCGGCCTTGTTGAGCTGCACGTCATCGTTGAGGGACATGCTGCTAATGATTTTCCTGGGTTCTTTTCGCTGACCCTGCTGGGACCGACGTGGCCCAGGGGGCTATAATGAGTAGAAGGGGTGCATATTTAGAAACGTCAGAAGAAGAAAACTTTACAAATCAAGCCAAATACAAAAAATATCCTGCATAAGAAACCACCCCAGACAGGGCAAAGACACTCACTGGGCCACGTGGTCCTCCCACTGATCTGTTCCCAAGATTCCCCAAATAAGAGGGAGTAAAATCAGAACCAGCAATCATGAGGCGAGCTGGGTCCACAGGCCGCAGTGGAGTCTTGTTCACCTAAAGGCACAGTAAGAAAAACAGTCACCTATATTGCAAAATACTGTTGAACCTTCTAATTTTGCATTTCACTAATAAGGCCATGTGTTACATTTCCATGCTTCTATACCAATTATCTATCTGTCCTGATATCACACGAGCAGATTATCAAATTATATAAATTAACTCTGTTCAATATGCAAAAAATAAGCACAAAGTTCCAAAATCTAATCAGAATATTTGTTTCTAATGGGCCCTTGTGAAGCAAGTGTGAGCTTTACATTATGTGTTGTTCTGTCTTCATGTTCACATGAATGTCTATACAGATGCCTCCATTAAAACAAAGTTCCTAAGTTATTCACGTGCCCCTGTAACAAGTAGAGTCATGAGTTTACTCAACCTGCACAGAAGAGAGGATGTTTAAAGATCAGAGAGCAATGCTATTTATGAATTAACTTGTGGTAAAATATCAGTTTATGGGGAAAAGTGCCTCCTACAGCATCAGAAAAATTATTTCCAAGCATTTTAATATATGGTGCAAATTGTTCATGACTAAGTTTTCAAAATTTCTTAAAGTTAAATACTACATACTACTCTGTTACAAATCAAACCGAAGCCCATATTAATAATTAGGCAAATCATCACTTACCTTGTCCAAGACCACGTCACTGATGACAGGCAGGCCCTCAGGTTTATTCATACTGGCGCTGATAAACTGGAAGCCCAGGAGGAACTCCCTGTCGTACCGCTTCTTCTCCTCTGGGTTTATCGGTTTCCATTGTTCTGAGAAATGTGTGAAGGCACCGAATTAAACGTATACATGAGGTGAGCTCCTCATTTAGGTGATTTGACTGTGCCTGTACATTTAATGTGCCTTTTTATTTTAACTGAAGGCTGCAAATGCACACAAAATACATGCCCAAAAAAAAATTCATTACCAGTTACCATTAAATCACTTTGTCCATAAATGACAGATTAATCTTAGTCCAAACGTACCCTCTTTGTACTGGTATTTCTGCTCTGTTGGCCCAGGTGTGGCCTCAGACATGTCACATTCTGTATTCTGCTTGTCCTCTTTCTCTTCCCAGGTCTCATCTGCAGCCTCAGTGGTAGGTTCAGCTGAAGCAACAGGGGCAGGGTCAGCCTGAGTGGAGGAAGGTTCAGACACAGGCTTGGTGCCTTGGTCCTGCAACAAACAAAACAGGAAGACATGAATAGGAAGATCTCGGTGCTTCCATTAAGAATATCCTCGAAAATATTACTAATTCAGCTTAAACTTCTGAGACAGTTACTACCTCAACACTGTGCCATTTTTGGCATTTTCCGTTGTCAATCTGACCGATACCCACCTCTGTGAAGGCATCCAGGAGGTCTCCAATGGCCTGCTTCTCGTTGAACGCTTTCATGTTCTTCCTCTTCTTTGGCACAGACATAGCAGCTTTAAGAAGGAGAGTGTTTGTATTAAAACTCACATGAAACCACAATGACACAGATGGCAATCCTAAATTTTAGTCAGAACTCCACTGTACCTTGCATAGTAGATTTCTCTGTAGGGCAGCTAACAGAGGCAGGAGGGGTGCCCTCACTTTTTTCCTTCCCCTCTTCCTCTTCCTCTTTCTCCTCCTCCTCCTCCTCCTCCTCCTCCTCCTCCGGGCCTGGCACTGTGGTTTTAGCCACAGTTGTGGAATCCTGAGATTGAGAAGTGTCAGGCATGTCAGTGGGTGTAGTGTCTGAAAATGCCACATCCTCGGACAATTCCTCGATGTCCGGAGGAAGGCCGTTAGAGAGAAGAGGCTCTGCTGTTACAGCAGGTGTGGGTTCAGGTTCAGGAGTAGAAGACGGGGTAGCGTCCTGGGTCTGTGGTGTGGCAGGTTCCTGCTCAGAGGGTGGAGACTGAGACACTTCAACTGCTGTCTTTGTGGCTGTTTCTTCTTCTTCTTCGTCAGAGGAAATTGTTGCTGCAACATCAGCTACATGCTCTATCTTGGTGCAAGCCTCCTGTTCTTTGTCCATTTTCTTCTCTTCCTCCATTTTTTTTTCTTCCATTACTTGTGTCATCTCGGCTATAGCTGGGGCAGCCTGTAGTTCTTCTATTTTGATAGATGGTTCTTGTAGTAGCAACGCTGAAGGACCAACAGCAGCATCTACTGTGCCATCAGCTTCAGTACTAACTTTATTTACCTCCTCAGCAGGAGTAGTAGCTGGTTCTGCAGGAGGGAGGGAAGAGGGAGACTGCTGGTCCTTCATCACTGGGGATGGCACCTCAGTAGCAGCTGTGGTGGCTACACATGGTGCAGCTAAATCTGCAGGTGGTGTCAAGTTGCTTTCAATTTCCATTTTGACCTCCACCACAGCCTCTGTATCTGCTATGGCAGTGGGCGGAGGGGTCTCAGTGCCAGCAGGAGGTTCTATGTTTTCATCTGGGCAGCGAAATGAATAAAATGTTTACATATTATTAAGGAAAATGTAGGGCATGAGAAGCTTGAATCTATATGCAAACTAAAATGAGTACATGTACCCACCTCTTCTCATCCCTGAAGCCACAGGCTGTGTAACTTCACCATTGGTCTGTGTAGGAATTACATCTGCTATAGAGGTCTACACTCAAACAGAATTTAATGTTTTACAAGTCAGAGTTTGTTTTTAAAGGACCAATTACACACCCTCAGAAGTACATTTTTGCCAAAAGCCAGCTACTTTGTATCCATAAGTGTGAACATACTGTTACAATGAGCAATGAATCAATCAATTAAACTATTCTGTCTTCAACTAGGTACCCAACAAAGCATGTTCAAGATCAGTTTCAATATGTCAACAGAAACTGGCATTCACAAAAACCTTTTCACCTGTGGGGGAGTTGGTGTGGTGGCGGACCTTCCACCTGACATTATCTCTTCTGTGATATCACGCCCACCCTGGTTGGGGTCTCGTATTCTTATCTATCAGGAAACAGAGCAAACATTCAACATTAAACCACAAGCATTATTCTACAATTCTGCCACTACTGACCTATAGCGGCGCAACATCATAATAAATACTATTGGTATTTTGACATAAAAGTGATAGTTCCACATTAAAAAGACAATATTCTGTCTCGATTCAAACTTTTTTTTACCTCAGACGAGAGGTGCACTGTCCCTTTGTTGTGACACACTACCTGTTTGCGTTCCCTCTTTATAGGGCCTTGCGACTGTGCCGGTGGTTGCTGAGGCGGCGGGGCTTGTTGCTGTTGCTGAGCGGGGTTGATCATGACTGGAGGAGGCTGGACAGATGGAGGATACTGTGCCTGAGCTGGATAGTATGCTCCTGCTGGGAGGTTAAAATGAAACAAAAAAAAAAAAACTTTAATGAAAAGGAAAGTGGACAACGCTCCATCCAGGATACATAAAAATTTTTTTGTACTTGCTATGTTTTTACAAAATTGTAGGCGGAAACGGGATTTAAGATACAGCTGTAAACATCTGCTTGTGGACAACTGCTGCGTTTGCTAAAATCCATGGTCCCTGTCAATTTCTCCACAGCTAGAAGTCCTGTTGATATTTCAACATTAACACACACACACACACACACACGAGAAGATTCTTGTAGCAACACAAAAACCTGAGTCCACACTGACAGCTTGTATGAGGTGTGTGGACCAAAACCTCAATCAATATTAAATTTGAAACCATGCCTGTTTTGGCCTGCAATCACCTCCTGTGACAGATAAAAACAGCCTGTATGACTGTGACGGTTATTCAGTCTCAAAGGCACAAGTATGAAATTGGTTATAATGTTGACACCCAGACCGTGAAGGTCAGAGGCTGCATATTAAAGTTCTGTGCTCAGCTTTAGCAGTACCGCTATCTTATGATTAAAAATTAAGAACCCTGCAAACCATGATTACCTGCATAGTAATCACACAAAATACATCATTACATAAGTGGAATTCAAGCCAGGAAACGTGTAGCATAACCAGGTGGCTGGTAGTGATACACTACAAATAGACATATCTGCTCACCATCATGTCAGTGTAGACAGGCAGAGCACCTGTAACAGCTTGGCCCAGTGAATGTAGTTTTGATATTTTGCCAGTAAAACAGTGTACAGGAGTGAAGCTGTACTTACTGGTATCATCATTTATGAACATGATACTGTACATGGCAAGACTAATATGTTATTAAAAATATTTATAACAAGGAATTTTTTGTGTGTTTTATCACATGTGACCTTTGCTTTGTTTCCCATCCTCATGTGTTAAAAAAAAAAGTATACATATGTAAAACAAAACAGGAAAAAACATTTTTACAAGACAGGACAGAAAGTGCTGCAGAGATTATTGCCACTGAAGCCTGCTGATCAACACAAAAGCATGTACACTACTCACCGGGGTAGCGCTGGGAGGTGAGAGGAGTGCCGTGGAGAGAGAGACGGCCATTCTCTCGCCCGCCTCCTCTCCCCCCACCACCCCGCCTCTCCCTCGCAGCAAGAGAGGGCTCTGAACCAACGCAGCAAAGGAGAGGAAGAGTGAGGGACGGGAGAGGGAGGAAAGGACAGAGGGCAAGAAGAGACAGATGCAGAATGAGTTAATGAAAGGATCCAGAGGAAGCAGGGTGTTAAAATGGTCCCATGAAATGAACAATGCTTTCACCATCTCCTTCCCTGTGTTCCTGGCTGCATCTTATTCCATTATGCAAAAAGGATGACAGCTTGTTTGCATTTCTTTAAATCACTATTAAATTTTTCTTCCTAAAGAACTTCTGTTCACTGTATCATCTTGCTCTGTGCATTAACAACTTAAAAAAAAAATCATCTGCAGAACTTGTCTTCAATGGGCAGCTGTAGCAGTAACACAGGTGAGAAGTGTGTCTGGGTTGGCATTTTCCAAAGATGTTCCAAAAAACAAAACAAAAACAAAAAAAAAAAAGTGCAGTGCTTACACCCATACTCAAATGTTTGCCTTCCATTTTGGAGTCGGTGGATATTTCTGAACTCTTATTAACATTCAAATTAATTCCTTCATAACACACCACCATCCTATTTGATATGAACATACATTCTGCAGTAGAACAAAGTTCAGGTCTTAAATTCATTTCATGGAACCTGTAAGGCAGTGTCAGGTGAGACTGCAGAGAGAAAGAACACAGGCCAAAGCAAAATTAAGCCAGATCACAGGCAACTGGCAATTGACCACATACAGCAAAGGCCATAAACACACCACTCAGACAAGCAAAACCTGACACACCAAAAACCCCTTACCATAAGCAGGGTATTCAGCAGGGCTGGCTGTCGGATAGTAGCCTGCTGTACCACTGGTCACAGGATATTGCTGAGCAGGAGACATGTACTGAGCCCGGTACTGCAGAAACACAATGAAGATTCAGAAACAACAATAATAGAGGGAACAATTACGATGAGCGAGCTTATTCCTGATTTATTTCAATGGGGGATGCTTCATTTTCACTTGTCAAGTACTGAAGTCCGCTGTGGCATTAAACATTACAGAAACCCTGTAGGTTCACTCAGCTTCCTAAATAATTTTGGGGCTGACGAGGCCTAAAAGACAGCATATAAACTAATGAGAAGAAATTCTCTAGTCTTCCAGCAGTAAGGCCTTAGATAACCTATAATGCAACACTGTTGTAATGTAATAAGCTCGCTCTATAGGACACAGTTCTTGCTTTTTTCAAAAAGCACATCTGCTATTTACATGTAAACAGTCCTGGACTCCCATTTTTTCAGATGTAATTTCCTTGGGGGTGGGGGCCCTCTTAGACTTCGGCCAGTAAGATAATATAATAAGCACCATATTATGTGGGAAGGTCATCGGGTAGAAAGGTACTATTTGTGCTATTGCAAATATTACAAATGTAGACCAACCTGTCCAGGTGGGGGGATGAAGTATCCCTGAGGAGATCCAGCGAAAGACAGCTGCTGCTGGGAAATCATCATGGGTGGGTAGACATGAGTAGGTGCAACAGGGCGAGTGCCACTACTTGTCTGTACCCTTGGAGCACTGGTGGCCATGGCCGGTCGGTTCGGATAGTAACTCTGGAGAACAGATGAGGGAAAAGAACAATGAAGAATTTCTCTTTGCAAAAGCAAGCCTGTTGCTCTGTGTGTGCATTTAGTATCTTTGCTAAGGAAGTCCTGGCCCATGTGTTAGAATACAGCAACATTTTTGCTTGTGTGTGTGTGTTGAATTACACACACCGTTAAGGTCAGCTGGAAGCAATGCACTCACAGCAATGCCAGTGTGTAGAGCAAGCTCAGTTCCTGGGTTACACTGACTAGAAAGTGTACTGGATGTCATATTTCCCTGCCACACAGAGGTTAGCCCAAGTTGGGGGGGGACGAAGAGAAAAGCTGTTACCTGTAACGCTCTGTATCCACCCTTCAGCCGCGCAACACATGAGCAGAAAGCAAGAGAAGGAGTGAGATTTAGGTGAAAATGAAGACAAACAATATGGAAGGTTGAGATTACACGGTGTAAGTACGAAGAGTATGAAAGGCAGCAGTGTATCTCTGAGCCATGAAGAGTAAGTTCAAACAACCAAAGCTGTGCATGCAACTCTGTACAGTTGTGTATAGAAGTAGGAGCCCCTCAAGCCCTGCCCCATCCCGGTTAGGAATGGTTAAAGAATCACTGTAGGGGCTGAAGGCAGAGGCGGGCAGTGATGTTAGAATGGTACAGGTACCAAAAATCAATTCACTTTAATATTACACTATTAAGCTGATCCCCATCAGGGAGCAACAGTGTAAATTTATGTTTGGGTTACAAAACAAAAAAGCCAAATCTTGGTTTGTTTTACTCATGAATACAATGATTTTATGACCATTGTCATAACAGGCTTGGGATAATGTCTTAAAAATGCAGAGAAGTAGGGGGTAAAAAAAAAAAACCTGCAAGTGTGTGCAGATGTACAGTAGTGTGAATAAAGAATAAATAAGGTCTGGCAAGAACTCTATGTTGAAACAGAGCTGGCAACAAAATAAAGTCACAAAACTTCCTATAGAGAAAATATCAAATTCTAGAATGAGACAGAGAAGACAATGGACCTGCTGCCGGAACTCAAGAAGTTCATTCACCCAATAGACACTACAGTGCTCTCATCTAATTCTCCCACATGTGGACAGAAACATGCATTATGCTAAGGAGACAGAGGAGTGTAAGGAAAAGCAAGGGGTGTTAGTACCTGTTGGTGTAAAGTACGGGGCCCTGCAGCAAACTGGGAGGACAGCAGAAAAGATGAAAGAAGTCAAGATTGACATTCAAGGAGAAAGAGGGAAAATAAGCTATATCTTACATATACACAGAGTAAACCAAAGCCTTAAGCAGAAGAAGCATGTTAGAAATCACTATGAAAAGTGTGGGAAAGGAGGGTTCTCGTACAAAGCAAAACATGTTAAAACTAGAGATGGGCAATGATTTTTGAATATTCAGTCATTAAGTTAAAAAAAAATGTAATATTTCATGCGACTGTGGTTTTGTCTTTAAAAACAAAGAGCCACTGTTTTCCCTTGCCTTTACCAGCAACTGGAAATAATGTGATAAGGTCAGTATATCATTTTAGTATAGCGCCAAATACAAACAGCAGAAACATGCAAAGACTACAGCCATCAAAAAGTTCTGTGTGGAACTTCTTCAAGAAAATAAATGAAAATGAGGTGCAGTGCAAACTCTTCCAGGTTAAGTAGGCATATCATAACCCGAAAACAGCTAAACGCAGCCATTTGAACATGAAGTATCCAGCAGAAAGTGGGGTGCAGTCCGCAGAACAACAGTCAGTGGCCAGTTTTGTCACCCTAAGGAAATTCGATGACTGACGTGCAGAGCAAATAACAGCCCTCATCACAAAGACGATGGCAAAGGACACGCTCTCCATTAGCTTCACCAAAGGCAAGAGTTTTCGAAGTTTGATAGCATTTGTTCAGCTGGAGTATACGGCTCCATCAAGAAAAACAGTCACTCACTCCCCAGCTGGATAAACTACATTATGATAACGTATCTGAACTGCAAAGTCATTTGACAAGTGTTGACAGGTGTCTCTGACCACGGATGCATGGACAGTGCTTACAACTAAATCATATGACAGTCACCTGCCATTATATAAGCAACTGTAAAATAAAGAATACAGAGTGCTGTTCCTCAGACTAAAGCAATGCCGGAGCAGCATACTGCAGAAAACCTGCCGAATATCAAATAGACCCTATTAGTATCTTGGACTCTGAAATCAAAAACCTCAGCAGAAAGAAGCATAAACATGCAGTGAATAATACCGGTCTTGGCTGTTGTGCAGAGTTCATTTGTGGAGGTGCAGGGGTGGCAAAAACGAGAGAAGGGGGCTGTCCAGGGCCGTAGGCAGCCTTGAGAGGAAAGAGCAGAGGAAAAATCTGTTAAACTTGAACCCTTCTAAACAACCCCCACTGTGTAAGGTCAGTGGCTCTCACCTGTGTCAATCCAGGAGAGGGGGCAGGGTTTGGGACAGAAGTGGGTCCCGTTATAGGCTGTGGTGGTTTGTTCATTTCACGTTCTTTTATGGTTCTGCATTAGAGTGGCGTTGTGTTGCCAGCCTTTCTGAGGAAGAGAAGAGCAGGACAACAACCAAAAAAAAACAAACAAACAAAAAAAAAAACAATTAAGCATTAGGCAAATATTAACCAAAAGTAGTAATATTATATGACTTTCAATTCATGCTTCACTTTAAATTATTCCCTGGTAGAGAGACAGTGCCTTAGCACATCTCCTTTAAACATGACGACTGCAGCCATACAGGTCAGTTATCAGGCAGCACAGTATGCGGTGGCAACATCAAGCTGAGCAGTGAGGGTGTGGTCTGTGGTTTTGCCATTGATAACAAATAACACCACCACCTCCCACAATCTTGAACACTTGTATACATCTAGCTCATGCAAGCAGTCTACCAGTAGTTAGTGTTAATATCTTTTAAGGATGCCTTTTCCAAATCAGAGTGTAATGAAACCAATTTTTTTTATCCTCCACTCAAAACTGTGAGTAGAAAAAGGCTTCCGGTGGCTATTGAAGCACTCCAAAAAGGGGAGCACTGACTTACAATTCTTAATTATTCCAGGCCCCCTATGAAATCATCCACTGAACAGATGGTGCTTAGCCAAACAGCAAAAAGCAAACAGGGGACAGATACTGATAGGGGTGACTTCCAGTGGTTTGAATATATATACTTTCAGCTAATGCATGAATACCACCAAATTAGCTCAAGTGAATTTAAGAAAATGGATACCTCAGGTCAAAGTTCATTGACTGTGTTAACAGTAGCTTCAATGCCCCCCGGTTGTGCTAGCCACATGTGCAAACAGTCTATTCAAAAACGTTAAGTCCATGTCCATTTCAAAACTGTGTGCTGCTTTCTCATCAAGACAAAGGGATTGTTCTACATGTTCTGGAATTGCTAAGTCATGCTGAAATTAAAACTAACTCATGAATATAACTTGCAGAAGTGCCATACACCATCCACCTGCTGACACAGGAACTATCATTAGCTACTAGCTAGTGCCATGCTTCTTAGACAGGTCATCAATGCACTAAACTACCAATCAGTTCTGGCTAAGAGTCATGTGAACGAATCACAAATATGACAGGTTTTACAGGAAACGATTATAACTATCTTAGCTTAGTTATGAGACGTATTTTAGTGGCCCGCTAACGTGCCATCATTAGCAGCCGAAGTAGATTTGACCGTTAGCCATCAACCGGTTAATGTTACGTGTCCCACTGTCACAGACATTTTGCATAGTTACGCTACGTGGCTGAAGGTTGAGTTCATATTTAACTTTACCGTAGAGTTCAGTCTGACAGTTTTGCTGATGGAATATATGTGTAGTAATAAAAATAATGACATTTTAATCCAGTCATGGCAATAATGTTGCAACAATTGATACCGACTAGGTTACGATTAAGTTATTGTTGGTTAACGTTAGCGGTTTAGCCCAGCCCTGTCCTAGGTGGTGTATTTAATTACAGGCCCAGCAAGCTCCAAAAGCGAGAGCATCGACCTAACGTTTATCTGGAGAAAGTATTATCCTGAAAGAACAAATACGATCAGGGTTTATTCACTCTTAACTCTATGAGTTACTTGAAAATCGCTTACAAAAACAACTAAAGTTAGCGTCAGAGCTAGCTATCGCTACATCACGGTGATAACGCTGACCAAATAGAGATTAGCCACGAGAGAGTAAACCTAGCTGTCACTTCGGCTAGTGTTAAATTGACTTTAGCTAAGCAGCTCCAAAGAAGGCCTCAAGACAAACTAACCACCGGACCGAAAAGATACAGCGTTCAGATTACACTGGATGAGTCCGTTTTTGTCTTCTGTCCAAGATTAGCTGGCTAGCCGTCCTAGTGTGTGGACTGACAGCCGGCAGGGCCTGTTAAGCAGCTAACATTAGCTAGCCTGAGTGCCTAAAACAAAACTGGGTGTACATCGGATGTTTTTATTCTTACCAGGAATCAATAATCAGTATGTTGTAAGACTGGAACTCGGGGAATCGGCCTCTGATCAGTCTCCTGTCAATAAAAGTAGTGCTGCTGTAGTTTCCTTGTCCTTAACTCCAAAAGAAAAGTGATGTCCTTCTTGGCTACTGACTTAGCGAGCTAATTAGCTAACCGGCAGATGGGGTGAGTGCTGCTACTGTCACTTCGGTTTAAATCTCCGGGTGTGCAAAAGTGACAGTGCTCAAAATCAAATAATATAGTACTTCGGCAGTACTACTGACAACTCTGATGGCCCCGAAAAAAGCCTCTGGACCGGAGGTCCATGATCAAGGCGTCGATGGAGACGGATTGCCGGGTAGGTATGTACACTTCTACTTTATGAAGAGGCTCAGAGCGAGGCCATAGTGCGATGTTTCTCGTCTACGGAACCGGTGCGCCTCCAAGTCGCATGGGTAACTTCCGGGAAAATTAAAATTTGATGTCGTTTCCTTGGTCATGTGATACAGGAGCTTCAAACAATTCATCCGATTCAGGGAAACAATAATCTAATTGATCTGATAAGGAAGTAACAATTCAGATTTCAGAATAGTTACAATAGATTTTGTGATGAACAGGAGTGAAAATGTGGTTTCAGTCTGATACCAAGTAATACCAAGTTTTATATCAGTACTGAGAGCCAATCAATGCTCTTTATCATGCAGAAAAAGATAACTTATTTATATTTTCAGCCACATTTCAAGCAAACATGTCAAACATTTGCTGGTTTTAGTTTCTCAAATGTGAGAAATTGCTGTTTTTCTGAAATATGAAATACCTTTGAGTTTTGGGCTGATGGACAAACAAATAGATTTTAATTAATGTTACTTTTTTAAACAAATTTTTGGCATTTCATTGACAAAAAAAAATATGATCTAGCTAATAAAATTTGTACTCTACTTCAGCTTGATAGAAAGGACAGCTCACCATCGTTCTAAGTGGACATAGTGGAAATAATAATGGCTGCAACAGGTTTTAATGATGCTAATTTTCTTTACTGATAAGTTAATTTATTATATACTTGTCCGACAGCCACAGACACACAAAGAATTGCTAAAAGATCAATAAATTGAAAATGATTTTCCATAAAATGCAAGTCCAAGGTTAAGCACTCAAATTGCTTGTTGTTTTGATAAATAGTCCAAAATCTAAAAATATGGAGTTAAGTGCCACAAATTACTAGTAAAGCAGCAAAATCCCATATTTGACAACTTATAACAATGAAATATTTCAGATTTTTACTTGAAAAATGACAGAATCAATTAATTGATTATCAAAAGTAGCTGTTTAAATTTCAACTAATCAAATAATTAACTATACTTTTAACTCTATAAATTAAAAACATGGTGTGTAAGAGACAAATAGGACACCAGGACACTTATCCAACAAAACTTTCTTTTGCTGATATCTGTTGGATCCAGGTTACAAGGATGATGGCACTCATGAATGCCCCTAGGATAAACTGGGACCCAGTGGGCAAACAATGGGTTTCCCTATTCCTGTGATAATAGCTAACAGAAGAAGAATGGTGCATCATGCTCATGTAATCAAAAAAAATGGTAACAATTGCTTGCCAGGCCCAGCCTGCTCATTGCTCTTCCACTAATTCCATAAAAGTAGCTTTATTAAATGTACGATCTCTTAGCAACAAGTCATTTTTAGTCAGTGATCTCATCACCACTAATAATCTTGATTTTATGCTTTTATCTGAAACTTGGTCACACAGTAGTAACAGTGCACCAGTTGCCACTGAGTCACACAGAAGAGGTGGAGGTGTTGCTGCTATATTTAAAGACTCATTCCAGTGTAAACGGTTATTATGTGGTGATTCTGACTCAAAGCTTTGAGTGTCTATGTTTTGTGTTGAAAGGCACACCTAAAATCCTACTGTTAATAATTTACAGGCCTCCGGGATCATCTACAAATTTCATAGACAACCTCACCTACTTTCTGTTATCTCAACATATTTTGAGCATATTTCCATAACTGGTGACTTTAATGTTGATATCTCAAGCACTGTTGTCAAGGATTTAAGCCTCTCTGACCATTTTTGTGCTTTCTTTGATGTGTCAGTTTTACTTGATACCCATAACACTTCAGTTCCTGTTTAAAAAAAGGTATTTAAATGATTATACTTCTTCTGTCATTGGGGAAGCTCTGTCTGTGTCAGTAAGCCTAACATCTGACTGTGTTGATTCACTGCTTGATCATTTTAGCTGTAAAACCTTTGAAAAGCAGAGGACTTGAATGGCCCCATAATACTTTTTATGTAAATTAGTTTGTGGTTATTTGATTAACATTAATGCTAACATTTGTTTGGGAATACACACCACTAAAACAGAATTACAGATGTAATGATTAATCAGTCATTTATTTAAATGTCAAAAAAATCAATCAGCAATTGTTTTAGTAATTGATTAATCATTCGACCATTTTCCAAAGAAAAATGCCACACATTTGCTGGATGTAGTTTCTCAAGTGTCAGGATTTGATGTTTTACTTATATGTTATACATTATCTTTAAATGTTGGACTGCTGGTCAAATAAAAGAAGCTACAAAATCAGGACACCTTGGGCTTTGGCCACATGCCCGGTAAAGGATTTTGAGCAGATATTAATTGTTCAGCCTGCCCAAAAAAGACTGAAGTCAGTGGAAGTGTAGCTGAAGGAAGGGACTGAACAGGGCTGCTAGAATGGTGCATTCATGTGCAACCATAGACCAAAAATAACCTACTGTATCAGAAAGTAGTTTGTTAAAAAAAAATCATCTTGTCATATTGTGGTGACTATTAGCTTTTTTGTAGTGATTCAGTATTAAGAAATCTGGTACTGCATCGCTTAATATGGTGATTTAGCTCCCAAAATACCACTCATTGTACAGTACAGTGCAACATGTCTGTTTGCCAGTACTTACTGAAAATACCGTCTCAGGTATGTTTTTACAAGAGAAACAAAGCACACTGTCACCCCAAAAGAGCATTAAAAAGGCTTTATTTGGGAAAAGTGAGGGACCTGTTAACAAAACATACAGTAGCTAATGTAATAAGAAGGATAGGTTTGTTTAAACACATTGAAAATAGCTACTGTACATGTGGACAGGACTGGTCACATAATAGTTGACTTGTAGGTTGTGGCAGTCCATCTGTTAATTCTTCTAAAAACAGATCTATAACAAGACTGGTAAGAAAATACACAATGCAATTGCTGGGTCAAGTGTGGGAAATGTAGCTAAGGCTGAGAGCTGTCTGAGGCATTGCATAGTCCATGGTCACCACTAGTCTTGTTGCTGACAGGTATGGGAAGTGCATATTTTCTCCAGATCTGTTGGGAGGGGAAAAACAAAGCATAACTTGAAAATGTAGAACAGAAACTTCATTTTAAAATGTGTATGTGATGTGTCTAAGCAACAAAGATACAGTTTTATTGTTAAACGACTAAATTCCTGTCATGTTCATGTTTATTTAAGCCAAAGAAGTACAAACCTGGAGCAGTTTCACTGCACTGTCTGAGTGATCTCATGGCAGTCATGTAGCCTTCCTCCAAAAACTTGTCATAGCTTGTTCCAGGTGGAACCTCCTGGAGACACAGTGTGGAGTCCTTGAAGAGGAGGTTCTTTCCTCCTTCTGACTGGAACATTTTAAATGAGGAATCACTGGCACCAGATCCAAACAAGGCCTATAAATCACATAGCCGACAAGAGAAGAAAAATTTTAGCTCATGGGTCAGGAGATAAATTGGTAGAGCACAAAGTGTTTTACTTCACAGTCCAACAAAATTGTCCATGAAAAACAATACAATTCTCCTAAAATTTGGTGAACTGAGGTAAAAACACCTCTCTCATGTCTTCTTGTTTTATACTGTATGTGTGGCAGGCCTGAGGCCTACAAGAGAGGTTTGTTGAAGTGATTAGCAAGACATGGTGGAATGTGATGCAGTAAAATGGAAGTAGATGTTTGGTTAGATATTTAAATGTTTGGTGGCTAGAACAGCAATCGAAATGTTCGCTAGTGGTAGTGACTGGTCATCTTGAATTATTAAGAGATTAGATGTTAATGAAGGATTTTGTTGGGTGTGTGGGTGCAGGTATAGTTTGTGTGTGTGTGTGGGGGAGGGGGGTTGCTGAAACAAACTGTTGAGCCTTCTCTGAGTCATGGACCCAACTCACTCCTACACCCACACAGAACTTGCATTAGCTTTGGTGTTAATATATGTATTGACTCAATGGGTTTGTTAATGGCGTATTGTTTTTTTGATTGACAGTCTTGGTAGAACAGTGTCAGTGGTTGGGCAGCTGAGCTTCTCACAGGTGACTGTCATTTCAAGCTACTTGAGCCATCACTGCTTAACCTGAGAAAATATTATGCAGATGCTGTGCATCAAGCCACATATCTGCTCTTTGCTTCAATGATGATAGGGTACACGGACGTTTTATGTTAAGGATAAGTTAGGTCTTGAAAATGGTGTTTCTTATTGTGGGGCTCTGAAGATACAGTATATGACTCTTCAGGGCCAAATAATGGGCAAACATCATTTAACTTGCATGCTGAGCTTCCATATGATGCTCTGCCATTCTTTGGCACATTTGATTGTGTATTATTGACACAAAAATTCAATTGCTAATCCATAATACTTTGTAATGCTAATAATCAAAAACCTAAAAATTCATCACTGACCTGCTGTTTCAAGAGAACGTTGACCACCTTGTTGCGAGTCTCTGGCCGAGTCACCACAGCGTGTGTGGGAACTACCGCTAGGTTGCATGATACGAAATCACTGACTGGCACTGGATCCTTCCCAGGGCAGATCAGCACATAGTCACTAGATTTCACATTTTGAGCCCAGTCTGGACCCTTACCTTTAACAAGAAGAGGTGGGGTCAAAAGGTGTTGTAGTTTTATAGGGGACAGCACTGCCACAGAGGAGACATGCCAACATAGTTACTCTCTTACCATCACTGTTTTCTCCAGGTGTTGAATGTTTAACAAAGGCAACATCACCAGCACCATCAACGAGACATCTACAATAATACACAAAACATATGAAGATGATATTTCACAGGGTGCAGTGCAAAAGTAATTTTTGGAAATTTGCTTATTAGCATAAGTTAGATGAGAATGAAAACCCTATGTGTGTTTGTGTATTGAGTAATAAACTGGGGAGTTTGGTAGCTTAGCATAAAGAAAGAAGCAGTGGGAAGCAGCTGGTCTGTCTCAAAAAATGCATATTGGCATCTCTAAAGCTCACTTATTCATACAGTGTATCTCATTTGTTTAAGCCATGTACAGACAAGCATAAAAACAATATTTTTGGTTTTAGGAGGAGTTAGGTGATGTTTATTTCTTGGTGAAAAGCTGCAGAGAAGCTGCAAGAAACTGTCGAATGTATGGATAAACTATAAGTCCCCCTAACACCACATATTGTTGTTTTTGCATTTGTGTTTGTTTGTGAATTAAACAAATGAGATACAGCTTCATATTTAGTGAACTTTAGAAGTGCTGGTAGAACTTTGGAGAGAACTGCGCTAGCTGCTTTTCTTTGCTTACAGTCTTAATGTAGACAGTCTCATGGACCAAGCTGTCTAATGTTCAAACATGAGTGACGGCAATCTTATTATTCCCATTCTCTTAAAGAAAGCAAATCTGTGTATTTGCCAAAATATCAAACAATTTCTTTAGCAACCCAGCACATACGTAAATTGTATGCAGAGAATAACTGTACTGTTGCTTCCCACCTAAAGGCTCCGGCATAGCCATAGTACTGCTCATCAGTATTGGCTTTGCACTTGGACTCATCTCCCACAGCTTTGCCACTGCCAATACACTGACGACAGAAAGGAGAGGCGGGGTCTGATCCAGGGGCACAGCCGCTAGAGAAGAACTTAGCTGAAAAGATTAAGAGAGTAGTGTGTTGGTGTTAAATTTAGAGGTATGCAAAGAGCAAACATGTTCATTATTTAATGGTTCTCCCAAATACATTTTGGAGGAATTAACTGCTGCCTGGATTATGTTCATGGCCAACATGGATGCCTGGATGATTTTCACCCATTAAAATGAGGATAACACTTAAAGAAACACTGTACTTTTTGTTCAATAGTTTGTCAAGACCATGGTATTTTCCTACATTTAAACAAGCTAGTACTTTATGTACTCGAAATATTGAATAATGGAATCATTAAAAAAAATATCCAGGGTGTAAAGAATTATAAGTAAACAAATAAAATGTTTCCTCATTGTGCTAAAAGAAAACACATTTTCTTTAACAACATATTTACAATTTCAAATGAACATATAAATCTAATTTTAAAGAGAATAATTGGTGCAATGGTCACAGTCGGTGCTTTGCTTAGACAAGCACACAGTCACTTACTGAAGTCACAGTCATTAGTCTGTTTGTGGATGAAACCCATGGGGATGTTCCAACCAGCTGTTCTGCCAACACCTGTGTGGCAAGACTTTTTGCCCTTCAGGGTTTCCCAGGTCAGTCCAGACTCCTTCTTTACCACGGCGACAGCATAGTAAGAAGCTGTCCTGACTACAAGAGTGGAGATAGAAAAAGAGATGGATCAGAAAACTACCAACCAGATCATTATTAGCTTATCTATTAATATTAGTTCGTTTTATTTAAGTTACACTCATTTTGTTATATGATTAGATTTTTTATGTTTTGTAACTTACATAAAAATAAAAATTTTGAAAGTTTCCTGGAAAGAACTACAGTATGAAGTTTGTTGTCTTCTGTTTTATACTGCATGTTTTCCTGCTTCACTGCCACTAAGGAATATCCCGTGGGGTTCACAGGTATACTGTTGTCTTCCTGTTATTCCTGTTCATACTGCTATGTTGCCTGCTACTACCAGTCATTCATTAAATAGTTGTTAACCTGAACTAATCCCGCCTGATTACTGGTCATCCAGTACAGTACAGTTTGGTACTCTTTACAGGGAGCATGGACAGTGTTCACTTTGTACACTTTCAATTAATTAATGCAAATTAACACATGATGTAATTTAATAAGTGCAAAAATGTGAAATTTGTCAACAGGCAAACATATAATTCAATAGATAGAGAATAAAATTTTCAATAAAAAGTCAGTATTGAATGTATGTTTACTTGTGTTCTCATGAGGCTTAGTTATCCACATTTTTCTTATTATATTACAAATGACATAGTTATCAATATGCTTTAAATGAAGGTAAAAAACAAGCCAATGTCCCCACAGCTTAGATTGGTAGCGTGGAGTGCTAAGAGTGACATTTGACAGACTCAGGATGATTTCATTTTTAGAGGCATTAAGCCAAAAAATACATTTGTCCATCAAATTTTGCAAAGCTGTTTTGGAGGCATTACCTCCTGTAGCCACAAACATTTCACTTGCACTGTACTATCTCGGTCTCTTCAATGATTTTCTCATTGCATCATTACAAGACACTTGAAGTTTCTATACACTTTCTTTTCTGCAGTTAAACTACAACTGTGCAGTGTAAAGAGGGGTGCAATAGGTTTTGAATAAAAAGACCTTCAGTCCATCTGAACATGAACTGAGCTTGCACAAGAGAATGTTTGCTTGTGCACACAACATACGGCATTGCCTATAAATACTGTCATCATTTAAAATCACAAAATTTCAACCATTTGCTCTCTTGGGTTCTACATATCATGACCACACTCTTGCCTGTATTGTATTTGATATCATGTCTCAGACTATATGCGGAACAGACATTAAGACCAGCAATACACAGACTGGAAACCACAAGATCATTTGTACAGATAATATGGTTCACTACGTTATTGCCAATCATGCACCCAGTTTTACAAGCTGCCTAGACAGATCATCCATGAAGCCAACTGCAAATGTAAGTGAGATGCTAGGGCCCCATTTTGCTTGCAGGGTCTGATGGGCATATCAGTAAGCCAATATTCTCACAATGTACTTGGGCACCACCCTTTATTTATAGCTTGAAGCACCTCATGTGCCATAAAAGCCACTGAATCCAAACTTTGCATGAAATTATTAGGAGAATTAAACTGACTTATTGGACCAACAGTAAATCAAGTCTTATTGGTTAGATGTTTTCTCTGATTTTAGGAACTGTAATATGATTCATATATAAACTTTATCACTAAAATGAAATTAAGTTTATTACCATTACTGTTGCTGCACCCGCCTGTGGAGAGAGAGACACACACGCAAATATTACTCGTGTAAAACAAGCAGAATAAAAACAGAAGTGCATGTGATGATTTCTGTGCTATCTAAGCATCATACCAGCTTCATACTGCTCCATCATAACAGGAACCAGGCCACATTTCCCAGCTGTGTACACCTGTCCTCCATCTATTGCCATTGCATCAGCCTCTTTATGCTGCAGGGAGATTGAGACAACACATAATCAGAAACAAATGCCACAACATGGAGCAAAAAAAAAAAAAAGTCGTTACTAACAAATTCCTATATTTTCAACCAGTACTGTTTTACCATAATCTTTTTCAGACACTCTTCAACTGTGGGGGCACTGCGGCATTCAATTGCGGCGTTGCCTTCCTCATCCACACTGTTAACGCTCCATGCATCACACTTGGCCGTCTCAGCGTGGCCCACATTACACCATTCAATAGTATTGGGTGAAGTGCTTCCAGTCAGTTCTGGAAAGTGAAGTAACACAAAACTGTAAGCCAGTGGCCGCAGTCTATTAGACAGGTTTGTCTGGTGGTTTCTGTGTTTATCTGTGTTTTATCTGCTTATGTTGACAGCACCTTTCTTAATGGAACGCATAACACTCATGTATTGAGCACCCAGATACAGGAAGGAGTCTGTGTTTGGGGGCAGCCGCACCAGGTTCTGTGTTGAGTCCTTGAACAACAGGTTCTTCACTCCATAGCTTTCAGAGGAGAAGAGGCTAAAGCCCTGAAAATGCACAAATTAAGTCAGTTCATTATGACAGGACTGAAACATACAAGTTACACATTAAAATGAAGTCATATCCTCTCTCTCTTCTAACTTATCTGGCAGTCAACTCTACTGCTTGATCTTTGCTACTTAAATAATTTTGTATTTTACCTGAACTGAGCTGAGGCTGTTCCAGATTAATTCAGCCAGCTGTGGGTCCTTGCGGGTGACAACAGCATGAGCTGGTACTCTGGCCAGGTGGCAGGTTTTATAGCTGTCGATAGGTGCTCTGGTGTTGTCCAGGCATAGCAGCTCATACCCATTCTTTTCAGCATCTGGAAGTGTTTCACAAGAAGTATTACTTCCCCCTCGTTTTAATCTCCTTATTTCAAATACATCTCATTCCCATATTTTCACAATCATGTTTGTCAAGTTAAAGTTTATGGTTATGGCAAAGGGCTATTTTGTTCATACAGACATACTGAGCAGGCTATAATAATAGTTTTTTCCTGTAATAAAAATGGGAGCACCCTTTTTTCTCTGTTGTATGCTTTAATAATCATACATCATCTTAAGCAAATTATGGGCATCTACATGAGAAGTTGGTGTCCTTAATATTTAGTGATGGTACCTGAGAGCAGTGTTGACATTAGCTTTACTGTGAGAAATCCAAAACCATCTCATAAAATTATCAGTTCTAATAAGAAACCAAGGAAGAGTTTGTGAAAAGAGCCATATGACATTTTACTGACATAAAACTAATTGTATTCCATGGTCACATACTACAGCTTTGAAACAACTGACCAGCTTACTTGACTGACATTACTGTGAGCTAATAATTCAGTAAAAAATCAAATAGATGACCATGTGATACTAACCTGGTACAGTGAGGTGCTTCACAAATGCCACTTGACCAGCATCCTCTTTCAGACACCTGTTGCACAGATCAGTTCACAGGTGCACCAACATTACAGCTTTGTTACCAGCAGTATAGTGTTACAGGGTTACAGATGGAGGTGTGGCAAGTTATCATATTTGGAAGATTAATGTGTACATGTTGACAGAAGAAACAAAAAGTGAAGGAACAGTTAAAAATGTGAAGGATCAAAGAAAGACTGATACTGACAGGAAAGCTCCTTCGTAGTCATTGTAGGGCTCATTGGGGGACTTGGAACAGTCTCCCTTACACAGCTGACACAGTTTGGAGCCCCTTGTTGCCCCTGGAACACAGCTGGCCACGAAGAAGTCACTTACAGCTGTAAAACAAAAAGCAGCCCAATGGGTTCCATATTGGCGCAGCGGTTAATGTTGCTGCCTCACAACATTAAGGTTCTGGGTTCAAATTCCCACTGACCTCTTGGCAAAAAAGTAAACAAGTGTATTTCTTTAACTTCAGATACATGTCTAAACATTCATATTCTTATTATTATACTAATATTTTGAGATTCTAACTTGTGACACAGCTAATGCACAAATTTCAAACTGTGATCAATGGTGACATGCAAAAGTTTGTTTTGGGGATTGTGCAACACACAACACTCACCCTCCTCCACAGGTTTGTCTTCGATGCCTTTCCACTGAATTATATCCATGGACACCAGAGTTCCTACGGGAAGGACCCAGCCTGCAGATTTCCATATCCCAGTGTGGCAGGATTTCTTCCCCTTGAGCTCATTGATGCCAAATCCTGTGCCCTTCTTCACCACGGCAACAGCGTAGTAACAGGCTTCTGAAGCTGGATGTATGCAGAGCAATTGTGAGTAAAAGGTTAAAACATTTAACTTATAGAAAATGCTAACCCCCTTTTGTTTATGTTTATTTCATCAGTAAAGACAGGCAATTAATAAACATACAAGGTCCGTAGTGCTCAGCAATAATGGGATGCAGGTCGTAGTTAATCAGTCCAGCAATGTAAAGGTCCCCTCCATCCAAAGTGATGGCATCTGCCTCTCCAGCCTGTTAGAAAACCACAGATCTTTACCAGCTAGCAGCATCATGTTTGATACCTCCCACAACTTAAGGAATATTTGACAATTAAATGCAGTGGAAATTTATACAAATGCTGTTCTTTGTACAATACTGTGATATTTGTACTTTGAAACATTTTATGCTAAAATATACAATTACTTTTATACCTCTGATATAGTTCTATAAATAAATCATCACACTTTAAACTCATAATCATGTTGATGATGATGACGATGATAATGTTGCTTATATTTTGCTGATAATGTGTTTAACTATGATTTTGAAGGGAGAACTTGTTTACAATATTCAAATAGTTGCACATTACTTAAGTATCTCCATTTTATGCAGGTTATTAATTCTACTTCATTACATTTCAGAGAACAGTATTTTACTTTTGCTCCACTACATGGATGCAATATGCTATTAGATAGATTATGAGTTTGTAGGTAAACCATGAAATGATCCATTGTTATAGATTAAACAGAAGAAACATTAAAACTCTGCTTACACATTAACATGCCAATAGCAGCCCAATTATAATACATTGTATAGGTATACACTAATACACTCCTTTCCATGTAATATTTTAATAGTTTTAATGCTTTATATTTTTACTAGGCCTTTTCGAGACTTCTGAATTTTCTTCCACTGATTAAATCAATAAAAATCGACTATTTAGTGATTTCAATATTAACGATCAGCCGTTTTTTGTAGGTTAAATGATTAAAACACATTACTAGGCTGCTGAAGGCAGACCTATTAAAATGTTCTTTTTGAAGAACATAAGCATGCATTTTGAGATCCATGCTCTGGAAAATGTTCATTTTCTCACCTTGATTGCAACGATGCACGCAAGGTTGTTTTCTTTTCTCACGCAGGAGAAAACAGGGGCTTTGGCGCTAAGGTCAGTACATTTCCGAAGTTCTGCTTCCGACGTGACGCACCATTTCACCTGGTCAGCCGCGAACACGGTGGCTGTGAATACAGATGGAGAAATAACAATGCAAATGAACTGCGCCTTTAATAAGCATATGATTAAAAGGTGCCTGGACAAAATTAAACGTTTTTACCGAGGTATCCGAGCAGCGCCACAAGGAGGAGAGGCTTCATGTTGGACGGTGGGGTCTCCAGATCAGCAGAGCAGAGGGTCAGGGAGGAAACTCAGGCTTTTATAGCAAACCCCTCTGACTGGGCTGGGGCTAGAAAGCCACAGTTCGTTTAGGTTTCCTAATGTGTAGCCTACGTGTGTGTGTGAGGAAACAGAGATTACATATCTGACATTTCCCCATAATGGAAAGTCACTGATGCTTTTCTGAAACCTTTGAACCATTGTTTGCATCATCTGAAAGTAGAAGACCAGAGAACATTTATACACCAGTTCACTTGAAAAGTTGAAAAGTGAAAGCACACATACAGCAACCCGGGATCTAAATTCTGAATAGTTTCTGATTTTATTCAAAGCATCAAAAATTAACATCTGTTTTTCAAGGATTTGTTTTACTCAATGCCTCATATTAATACATAGTAATTTTATTACAGGGGCTCCAGAAGCCATTCAGACCCCTTCACTTTTTAGGCACTTTATTGTAAACTCAATAACCTATGATGATTATAGAGAAAACATTTTATTAAAAATCCAAAAAGGAAATCTCTCATTTACAAAAGTTTCAAGACTCTTAATACGTTGACACTTTTATTATTAGATACTATTTTTAATAATATAGTACTGGGCTGCTCAAGGACAATCAGAGACTTGTCCCAAAGCCACTCTTGTCTTGGGTGTATGCTTCAGGCCATTGTCGTCCTGAAAGATGAACTGTCTTCCCAGGTCATGGACTCTGGAGCAGACTTTCTTCCTTTCTGTATTTGGCTGCATTCATTCCTTGCTCAGCTCTGAGCAGTCTCCCTGTCTGTGCTGCTGAGAAGCACCCAGCCCCACTGGCATGATACTGCCACTATCATGCTTCAATATAGTGATGGTATTAGTCGGGTGACAAGCATTGCCTGGTGTTCACTGGACTTCGCTTCGCTTTTTGTCTCAACAGACCAGAGAATCTCAGAGTCCTTTAAATGTCATTTGACAAACTCAAGACACTCAAGATGGTTTCCATCTGTCTGTCTACTCTACTGTGAAGGTGTGATGGAAAACTGCCCTTATTAACATGTTGCCTTAATATTAACATACTGATTGTTGCTATTCACTTTTTTATATATTGTTGTTTGTGTGCTTGTGAAACTAGACAACGTCTGTGTCCAAGTTTCTTTAGTGGAAAAACCTTGTATGGATGTTAAACCAGACAGCTTCTTTAATGTGTGACAGATGTTTCCTTAAGTCTAGATATGACCTTAACTGATCAAAACCACAACCAACACTCATGTCTGTGTATAAAAGGAAATGTAGCTCTTTGCTTGGGGAGCTTCTCTCTCAGACTGTTGAACACTCTGCATAGAGATTGCTCCTTCCTGCAGGAATAAATGCGCATCAACCTCCAGAGTTGGTGTCAAGTTTTATTTTGCACTCACCAAATCCTGATAAGACCATTTTTGCCATAACAAAGGTCTGATTGATGGAGAGCTGCTAAGATAAGCGTCTTCTCAACAGGTTTTCCCATATTTGCAGACGACTTCTGAAGATCTGTTAGAGCAATCCAGCGGGTCCTTGGTCACCTCCTTGGCCCTTCTTGCCTGGTTACTCAATTGTCTGAACGGCCAGCACTAGAGGAACAGTCTTGGCGGTTCTAACTATATTATAATTATTTGTGATTTTTAATAAGTTTGCAAAACTTTTTAACAGTATATTTTCTCATTGTCATTATGGGATCGCTGAGTTTAGACTGGTGGGCAGAATGGCAATTTCATTTATTTAAAATTAAATGAAGTGTACAAAAAGTGAAGGCGTGTGAATGCTTTCACAAGTGACTGTAGCATATTTCCTAGTAATTATCCAGCAGAAAGGTGAGTGACGCTGTCATGTCATATCTTTTGTCATGTCAGTTACTGGGATAGTCAGCGGAAACAGGCAAAAGTGAAGTGTTACATTTGAAAAGCTGTAGCGTGTGACCCACATAAGAGTCCTGTTTACCCAATCAATATTACCCAACATAAGCGCTAAAGTTCATGCTGAACCAACAATATCTCCTAGTTGACACCTGCCAAATATTGAAGTATCATCCAATAACTTTCACAGCAGCTTCTTAAGGTGCAACTTCGGTCTTGGTGTCTGCCTCCCGAACTGAGACTGGGAGAGGAGCTGGATAGCTAAAGGCTCTGTCTCCAGTTCTACTTCTACAAACTTTAGGAACCACAAGTAGACCTGTACTCTGAGGGCAAAGTGTTAGTGGTAATGGTCTGGCACTGAAACAATTACATTAATGTTTAGACTTTGTACTCTGTGTGTAGCAGACAGATAATTTGTCAAATAATATGCTAAAACCGAACACTAAATCAAAATACAGTTTTAAAACAGTTCAAAAGAGATGATACTTTTTAACAGGGAAGACTGTAGTAGTATTTCCACATACACCAGGTTTCATGTCAGGCTTGCAGGGGATAGGCTGCATAGATAACTTAATCAAAGACAGGGAGTGCATGTAATAAAAAGATGTAGTTATTTTATGTCTGTAGGTGTGACTGGTAACAGGAAAATACTGTATGCATTGTAAAAGTGGATCAAAGCAGCAAAATCCTTGATCAGCAAAGTCAAACTCTAAAAAAGGGAAATCAGCAGATTACTAAACACTTTATTTGCTGAATGCTGATCAGGTGCCCATGAAGTAGACTGAATTATTGCTGAATCATTATAGACCCTGACCTGAGCCTCAACCTACATGACTAAATCTTTAATTTTACCCCAGTCCACTGAGATAAACCCAGACACCAAGAGTACATTAACTTCTCTCCACACTTTTGTATCACATAAGTTGGTTTACCGACACTTAATATTTTTATAAAAACAGGAACATTTTATTTTTCTTCTTCCGCACCGTTTCTGTTCATTTAGGTCTGATAGAGGCATCGGACAAAAATGCTGACTTTGTCTTATCAAAGCTTAAAAAAAGATTAATTCCAAAAAAAATAACGTAATCTGGCTATACATTCAGGTTTGAGAATTTTATGCTAAACATGAATATTTGATCATGCCACTCTTAAAATAACAGTAAAGAATTTTGAATGATCATAACTTTGTAATCCAGCTTCCTGAAATACCACTAGGACTCTTGTGACTAGCTGCACATCTGATTGGGCGATTATTCTCCACAGCGCCTTCCTGACTGTGCTAATCAGAGCAGATAAGCTCATCATCAATGACTGTTCTCCTGAAACATGGAGAGCAGGACGTTAACAAGACATTGTTAGCAGACCTACACACAAACACCTTTTTAGAAGTGTTGCAGGGCTCTGTGTGGGAGAACGAGCCTCAAGTACAAATGGTTTGTAGTGTTTTTGCGGCTCTGTTACATCATATAAGCAAACATCTACCCCTTCAGATGCAGCTAAAATGTTGTACAAAACACCTGCAAATGTGCTAGCATAAGAAGTGCTGCAAAGGCAAACTGTCATGTATTTTGCATTTGACTGGAACATAAAAGTTGAGTTACACTGTTAACGGGGATACCTATACATGGTGATAACATTTGATCAGGGACCTTTGAGAAGACAGACAGAGGCATTCTAGAAAAACACATCAGGCATGTTAATGAGACACTGTTTGCTCATAGTGTTGTTATTCACACTGATAGAAATGATGAGCTGGTACCACACAGTGGTGGAAGTATTCAAATACTGAAATGTGCTTAAAGTAACAATATTAAAAGTAAATGTTCTACTGTACAGTGTATCACTGATATACCATTACAGTATTGCAATACTGAAGTAGCTTTTTACTGTTACAGGTCTTTGACCTGGAGCTTGTTTAAACCATCAGATATTTTTAATTTAAATTCTTCTGTGATGCTGCTGCTAACAACGCATAGATAACTGAACTCATTCACACTGCTAGTTTGTAAAAGATCTCAAGGCAAATAAGTTAGGAACCAATGGTTTAATCCTTAATATTATGTTGAACTTTATAGTCTTAGCATATGTTTGTTTATGTAAAAGATGTTATACAACTGACTGTGCAGTATGTGATGATTAAACTCATCTTTAAGATGTAAAATCTGTGGAGTTCCCCTTTAAACTCAGCCCCCGGATGGTTCACTGATCACACATTAACTTCCATTGACTTCATTCTGAGAAGCTGATATGTCCATGGGCGTCTGGGCTCAGCATCCTTCTTATGCAATACAGGTGATCAAACAAACCTGGTCTGATTGCTACTTTTCTGTTTACCTCTTTAACCTTTCAACTCTGACATGTAATGTTAGGTTTCATTTGAGATGACTGCAGCTTACTGATGTTTGGTAACAGCACTTTTTTCTCCTAATGGTCAATATTTTAGGTCGTTTAATCAGTCGAGTCTGTGGGGCACATGTTCAATGTTTGCTAAAAGAAAAATTACGCCATTAATTACTTTTTCAACCCGAGAGTCATTGGCCTCGGCTAATTTTCTGTGAATAACATAAAAAAGAACATATTTTCACTCACTGCACACTGAACACCCCCTACACATAATTTATTACATGTGGTGTTCAGCTCCAATGGACACAATTGTGTTGAGATTGTAAGTGCTATGTGCATTCACTCAGTCCTCCTACTTGGGCATGCTGTATGTTTGTACGCATGAGACAGAGAGAGGTAAAATTCCTGATCCAATTATTTTCATCATTTTAGGTTGTCTCCAGTAGCAACAAAAACAAATGCTGCTGTCACGCTCCTGCCCCTCTTGCTTCCTGTCATGCTTTTATTTTCAGTTTTTAGTTGTTTTGCTTACAACAAGTAAAGAACTTGTCGCTACCTCGGTTCGTCTGGTTTTCTAATTGAGTTCACCACAACCTCTGTTTGGCGCTATACAAGTATAAGACCATTTACCAAACCTGACAGTTGCACTATTTGTGGTCTAAGATGGACAGGAAGACAGCATACCTGCATCAAATGTAACACATACATATGCAACACACACACTAAAACTCTGCCCTTGATTCCTTTTTTTTATTGTATTTTAAGACAAAAAAGAATAGCACTTATATTTATAAATGTGATCTAACAGGGTAAATAGCGAATGTTTATTCTAAAT